TGTCCTCCACGCCCCCTCGAAGAGGCCTCCCCGGTGCTGGGTCTCCCTCTACACTGTCACGGCCCCCGGCTGTCCCTGGACTGCCCAGCCTGCGCACGCCTAGGGTGTCCTGAGCCCTCTCCCCGGAGCTCTGGAGGCCCCGGGTTTCAGTGCGTCAGGCTGGTGGCTCTGGTGTCCACACAGATTGGGCTCAGCTGTGCGGCCGGGGCAAGCTACTGAGCCTCTCTGCGCCCCACTTTTCTCATCTGGAAAAGAAGCCTAGCAGTGCCCACTTCACAGAGCCTGAGGGTAAGCGGTGCTTAATGTGTAGGGACCCTCATCCAGGGTCTGGCACAGACAGCTAGCAATTGCTGGGATGCCCCAAGCCCCGCAGTCACTCCCCACAGCTTGGACAGAGCCAGGCCGGGCGCCCCACGAGCCCTCCTCCCCTCGCGCGGCCCCCAGGGCCCCCAGGCGCTGCGGCCCCCCCCTGCGGGGCCCAGGCTTCCCCTGCGGGGTCCCTGCTCAGCCTGCACTCAGCCCTCCCCCACTTGTCGGCAGCTCCCACATCCTTGCAGCCCCCTCCCCCCGCATCAGCACCCCGTGCCCTTCCTGCCTTAACTTAATTTTCATGGCATTTCTGAGGTACACGACACTCATCTGTTGTCTCTGCTGAGCAAGGACGAGGGATTTCTGTCTGTCTCGTTTACTGCTGTATCACCAGCTCCTACACAGTGCCTCGCACACAGTAGCGCGCAGCACTGGCTGAGTAAGGAGCAAGGCTCCGGGCAGGCAGACCCCGTAATACCCGGGTGACTGGGGCAGGAGGGGCTGCTCTGCACACAGGGCCACCCCCAGTCTCCCACCCCCGGGCCGCACGCAGCAGGCCCTCATGAGTGGGAGACCCCGCGGGGGGCCTGGCTGATGCGAGTGTGCTCCCGGGGCGCGGGCCTTACCTGTGACCTGAGTGGGGGCGATCTCCACAGCACTGCGCGACGGGGAGAAGTCGGGCAGGAACCAGCGCATGGTGGGCGGCGAGGGCCGGGAGATCAGCTCTGCGGGCGGCCGTGGGCACCGTCGGAGGGAGGAGGCGGCGATGCAGCCCTCCGCCCCAGGCCGCCGCTCCCGGCTACCTCTCGCCCACCCTCCCGCCCCCTCCCTGGGGGGCCGCGGCCCGGGGCGCAGGCTCACCCGGGTAGGGCCGCGCAGGGGCCGTGGTGGCGGTCGGGTGGGTCTGCTGGGATGACTGGTCCTCTATCGCGGGCTGCGGGTGGCGGAGGTGAGCCCTCTGTCACCCCAGGCTCCCCACCCCTCCTGCCTGGGCTCTCATACTCACTGAGTCCGTGCTCACCCCTACAAGGGAAGATACGGGGCCATGAGGTGTTGGTCTGGGAGAAGAGTCGGCCTGGGGGTGCAGTGGGGGACGCAGTTGGGCTCCCTCAGAGCTCAGCCCCCCTGGCTCTGGGCCAAGGGCCAAGGGCCCGCTCCCTGGACCAGGCTGGGCTGGCACCAGCGGTCAGAGCAACAGGCCTGGGGAGGAAGGCGGTCAAGTCCTCGGCTCGCAGAACAAAGCTTGGGAGCTTGCAGCCAGGGCCAGCTTCCTGGGTCGGAGGTCGGAGGGCCAGACCCTGGGCAGCATTTGGGCTGGACCGTCCTGGCTTGAAAACCTGAGGGCCCCGCATCCGGAGCCCCTGGGGTTAGCCGTCTGGGGAGTGAAAGCGAGGCTTTCATCCGGGTCAGAGCCTTGGTGACGGGGTCTGGGGCGAGAGGGCCAGAGGGCCAGCGCTCAGGCCGAGGACTCGGAGGCGGGGTGGCTATCTGTGGGTGAGGGGCTCAGCATCTCTAGGGGCAGAGGGCCCACCAGACCTTGCTCCTCTTCTGCATCCTCAGGTGGCGGTGCCCGGCTGGGGCTTTCAGGAAGTTGCTGGGGCTTGGGGGGGCCGTCGGGGTGCAGAAAAAGGGAAAAGTCACTTTCGCCCTGAATGGTGAGCGTCTGGTGGGAGGTGAGGATGTGGTACCCCTTCCCAGCTGGGCAGATCTCCTTGAAGGCAGCTGTGGCCAGAGCAAGGGGTGAAGTGAGTGTCTCCTGGGCAGGGCCCGCCCGCCCCCGCCCCCACGCCCCAGGCTCACCAGTGCCATCAGCCGGGCAGCGCTGGCACCGGGCGCCCCAAGCCTTGCCGACGCTGCAGCAGCAGAGCTGGCGGGTGAGGCGTGTGGTCAGCGGGTGCTGGCACTGGTGCTCAGGGCTCACCAGGCGGAAACACAGGCTCTTCTCCTCCGGCTTGTCGGCTGTGGGGCCGTGGTGGGCATGGGCATCTGGCTCTGAGCACTGCCCATGTGCCCTTCCCAGGGCCAGACAGCCCTGACCTGCAGGTGCACCCTGACCACGTGTGACCCCTGGAACCTGTGGCGACTGGCCCACTGATGCCCTGATTCTAGCCACTCCAGGCCTCAGCCCCAGAGGGCCAGAGCCTTTGCTCCCATGGGACGGAGCCTCCATGTAACCTGACCCCAGGCCTCATGTGACCTCTGACCCTTCCTGTCTGCTCTGGGCATTGGGGCTGCTGTGGGACCTGTGGCCCACTCTGACCGTGGTGACCTCTGCCCCTCGCCGCGTGGGGCCTCTCCCTCCCTCCCATGCCTTCTGACCTCCCCGGGACCCAAGCCCCCCAGTCTCACCAATGCACTGCGTGCGGGAGGGGCCCAAGCTGTGGCCGGGCGGGCAGACACAGCGATAGGAGCCGGGGTTGTTGAGGCAGTCACCATGGCGACACACGCCCGGCATGGCGCACTCGTTGATGTCTGTGGTAAGTGGGAGTTTGGGCCCTTGGGTCTGCGGCCGCAGGGCGACAGCGAGGTGCCCTGGGAGCCGCAGGGTCCTGCCCGAGCCCTGCTCCTCCCTCGCCCGCCCCGGCCCCACAGACACTGGCCTGCTCCCCAGCCCGGCTGGCATACCCTGGCAGTGGGTGCTGTTGAGTCTCTTGTAGCCCTGGGGGCAGTCCGTGCCCACCTCCCCACGAACAGGCCCTGGCTTCTGCACCCCTGTGTCTGCAGAGAGAGGGAGCATGGCAGGGGCTCCTGGGGACCCCGCGGGAAGAGGCTGGCAGGGTGCAGAGAGGAACGGGCGGGTCGGCTGTCCGGGGCGGACACTCACACTGCAGCTGGGGGCACTTGTGGCACTTGCTCTGACCCCAGGCGGTACCAATGCTGCCGCAACAGTCTTCCTGCTTGGTAAGGCCGGGGAGGGGGTTGCTGCCGCACTAGGGACGCACGGGGACGGGATGGGTCACAGGGCGCCTGGCCCCACCCGCCTCTCCTGACCCCGCCTCCCCTCACCCCTCTCGGAGCACCCCAGGCTCGGGGCAGGACCCCCCTGAGCAGAGTGGCGGCTGCCCCAGGACGGCGTCCACTCACAGGCTGCTTGGGCAGCGTGTCCTGGAAGCAGCGGCCCAGGGGCTTCTGAGTGGGCGGCCGCGGGTGCGCGGGCTTGGGGTGCGGCAGCAGGTGCTGGGAGGGGGCTGGGCCCTCGGCGTGGGACCCCTCGATGCGGTGCACTTGCACCGAGGCCTCAGGCGGGTGGTGGACGCGCACGTTCACCACGGGGGGCGGGGCCTGCACTGGGGGCGGGCGCGGGGCCTCAGGGCTGCGCACCCACGCGGCCCCCCAGGTCCCGCCCCGCCTGGGTCCCGCCACCCTAGAGCCGCCCCCCTCGGCTGCCCCGGCCTGCCCGTCTCTGGTACCTTCCGCGGAGATCTGTCCTGGCCCGAGGGGCACCAGAAAGGCTGCGTGCTGGGCGGGGGGCCCCTCCCCGGGGCCGGGCGGGTCTGCGATCACCTGGACCGCGTAGATGGCATGCTTGCTGGCCACAGACTCGCCCTCCGGGGCCAGGGGCGGCAGTGCACCTGTGGACAGGGCCCCGGCCCGGCCTAGCCCAGGGCCTGAGCTGCCGGGGCCGGGGCCAGCTCCTCCTGCTGGCACCTGGCAGAAGCGACCCGTGAAGTCGGGGGGACACAGGCACTGGTTTCGCGACGAGCACTGGCCGCCGTTCATGCAGGGCAGAGGGCACACCACTGGGAAAGGGAGGTGGGTCAGACAGGGCCCCCCAACCCCAGCCCCGCCCCCAGGCTTACCCCCCCCGCACCTGCACTGTCCCCTGATCCCTCCCTCCTGGTGGCCACTGGCTCTGTCCTCGGGAAGCTGGCTTTGGTGACCTGGCACCACATTGCACAGAGAAGTGCCCCTGCGCCCCCAACATCGTGGCACCCAGCTTCTGTCTTAAGGCTTGGACGTCAGTCCCAGCGAGGAGGCCCCGCGCCACTGTGCCCCGCAGCCCCCACCCCGCCATGTCGAGGCTGTGACTTAAAGCAGAGCGTCTGTACAGCCTTGGCAGGCGCCCGGGCCCAGCGGCATGCAGGAAACAGCAGATGACTGCGACGACCATTATTTTCCCTCGGTGAACTTCACCCCAGCCCTCCCTGGGGCCCCCATCTCTAGCCACGTGCCCCTGCCTTGGCATTCCCTGGTGGCCTCAGCCCCTGGGGGCTCCCCTCTCTGCCTGCTACCCCGGGGCCCACACCCCACAGCACCAACAGGTCGTATCTCTGGCCTCACCTCTCCTGGACCTTTCCTGGGCACCCCCACCCAGAGGGCACTGTCAGAAGTGGGTGTCCTGCCCCTCTTGACTTTGGGCCAGTGCTGGGAGTCCCTTCCCACCCCAGTCGTGGCCCATCGCTCCCGCCCCCAGCCTGCCCAGCTGCGCCTCTATCCAGCTTCCTCGGTCCACTCCTCCTGCCCTCCTTCCCCTGCCCTCTGTTCCTCCCCTGCCTCAAGCCTGGCCACCCAGGCTCCCCACTGCTTCCTGCCTCTCAGCCTGTCCTCTCCCAGCACCCCAGGAGAAACCTGCCACAGGCAACGATTGGCAGTTCGACACCCCCAGCCCCCTGGCTGCCTTGACCAGAGGCACGAGGTTCTACAAGGACCCACACAAATCTTTCAGCCCCCTCACTCTGTCCCCCCTGTACCCCAGGCCTCATTTCTTCTGCTGCAATGTCCATGTCCTCTGCCCCCCAGCTTTATTCAGGCCACCCCCATCTCCACATGCCCAACCTTAGCCTCAGTCTCAGCTCCCCGAGAAGTACGCCTTTCCTCATGCCCGCACCCCTGTTCCTGCTGCTTCATGCCCACCCTCTGCCCCAGCTCGGCCTGGCATTGACTTATGTCCATGTCTGTCTCCCTCCTCCAAAAAGGGTGCTGGGCAGGGCAGGGCAGGGCCAGGGCTGCCTCAGCAGAGGTGCAAGGGCATGGCGGGGCCAGAGGATGTGCCTCGCTGTTCCATGTATTCCCTCCCACCACCCCCACCGTGGGGCAGGGCCCCGAGCTCAGGCCCCGGCCCCGGCCCCTCTCTTGCGCGCCCCAGCTCTGCCCTCACTCCCCCAGGGCTGAAGGTGAGGATCAGGGCCTGCTAGGAGCACCCCAGCCCGGCCCATCCTGTCCGGCCTGACGGGGCAGGACATGGGCAACGAAGTGTGCCCTGGGCCAGGGGGCTGGATCCTCTCCTTCCTGCTTCTCTGTGCGTGAGTCACCTCTCGCGGTGAGGGTGACCTCGCAGTGACACCCGCCCACTGTGGCCTGGGCACTGAGCCTGGGGGATGTGGGCAGCTCGATGGAGACAGCGACCTCGACAGGATGGCGGGGGGCCTGGGAGGCTGGGCGTATGAATACTCACAAGCACAGTCATCCGTCTCACACACGCACACGCACTCATTCCGACACCGACACTGGCTCACGCAAACACTCCCAAAGTGACTGAAAACTTGCCCCATGATAACAACACAAAGAAACACAATCACAGCATGCCGCTCGGTGCCCTTGGGTGCCCCCACACGCCTCTGAGGGCTGCAAGCCTCTGAGCCCCTCAGGCCGAGCCGCCGGGACTGAGCGGCCTGGAGAGCTGCGTGTGTAAGAGAGGCTGTTTGGCTGGTGCCATCCTGGGCTGGCCTAATTACCCTGTCCAGGAGGTAATTACTGCCGGGACACCTCCCTCAGCCTGGCCCACAGGGCCCCTGTGGGTGAGCGCCAAGCCCCAGGCCTGGCCTTTGAAGACTGGTGCTGGGGAGGAGGTGGGCTCGGGAGGCCCTGGGGGGTCCTCAGGAAGTCTGGAGGGCTGGGTGGGGGAGACCCTGCGGGATTCTGAGGCAGAGCCTCAGGGCTCATGGGGGAGGCAAACCAGCCCCTCTCCAGGCCTACACCCCACTTCTGGGGCCTCAACAGGCCCCTCCCAGACCCTGCTGACCGCTGGCTGCCTCACCCCTGCCCTGATGTCACTCCTCCTCCCACAGGGGCAGGTGCCTGCCCCTGGCAGCCGGCGGTAGGCACTTCAGAAAGTTTAGAACAAACATTTTCCTGTTTGTTCCAGCAAGTCTGTTTCTGGGGAGACGGGGGGTGGCAGATCTTTGTCCCTACAAACCCCTGTGTGCTGACCCCAGCACCTGCCTAGGGGCCTAGTCCCAGGTACCCCGAGCCCCTGCCTTAGGCCTCAAGCCCAAGCTCAGGAGTAAGGCGCCGCCACCAGGCAGCCCTCCAGCTCTGCTCCCAGAGCGCGCGCCGGCCCCTGGCGTCCGGGGAGCCCCAGCGCTGCCCTCGGCACCCCCTCCCTCCCGCGCCCAGGCCCACGGCGCCCCCGCCCCTCCCCCAGCCCCGGCCCTCACCCACGCGGAAGCCGGAGCCCGTGAGCGTGTCGGCGCTGTGGCCGTTCTCTCCGATGAGCGTCATGTTGGAGCCCTGCTGACAGCTGTCCCGGCACTGGCCCTTGAGGCAGGTCCGCTTGCAGATCACCGGCGCGAAG